TATATACGACCCAATAGATGTCTCTGAAATACTTTTGAATTTATTGTTGCATTCTCATTCTAATATGTGCCGCTAGATGTCACTATATAAAACATTCGAAAAAGATTAAGGTATCTATGACTGTTAACCACATATTTTTATTTTATTTATAAACAATACGATAATCTAAACAATAAACTGAATAAGAACAACTTATGTATATTTGAATGTAGTGTACATGTTTCGATTATTATTATTAAGTACATTATTATTGCATTAAGCAATATTAAATAAATAAAAATTTTAAAAAAAGCTATTTCATTCTGACCTTTGAGTTGATCATTCTGATCAATTCAAAGAGTTTAACCATCCTTTTGGCAACTCAAATGACATTTGACAAGCCATTTGACAGCCGATTAGTTAATTTCTACGATGATCAGTGTTTCAGAAACCGGACGTTAATATCGACTGTGGGATTTTATTATACATGCGCACACTTTGCCCCTTGAACGACCTATTTACTTTTTATACACGAAACAATAGCGTAGTTAGTTTGTCTTTATTTCTAGTATTTAGTTTATGTCTGTATGTTAGTTTATGCCTATGTAATAATTAAGATTATGTCTAACATACAAAATTTTACAATAAATATATTGAGACGCAACGGTGAGTACATCGATCTCTTTAAAAAGATCTCTTTTTTGAAGAATAAATATTGAATTTATATCAGATGTACTACCACACAACAAAATGCCGTATGACAAGATGCTGTGAAAATAATTAAAGTTAATAAGTCTGGCAGTGTTGATGTCTGATATCTGCCTAACCTTTCTAATCGCAATAACAGCGGAGCTTAGCCTACTCGCAAGAGAAGAGATGACAGATGGGGACGCTACTGGGCCTTTAAATCTACTGTAATCCCCAAGAAAACAATGGACTCAACGAGATTAAGGGATACGTTATTTAATAATAAACTAAAATTTTGCCTTCTTACAATAGGAAGAGTAAAAAGAATACATTTTTTTTTTGAATTTAATACTATATTATTAATGGTAAATTGCATTGGTGTAGTGGAACGTAAACCTGTCCTCAACCGGTCGTGAACTGGGTCTCCAGTCCTTTGGCATACTCTCGTGGCGACCTTCACCCTGGATCGAAAAGTTCGCACCACTATACTGTCCCACAAGATGCATCAACAAATATCATCCGAGTTCAGATGTAGTTGGTCTGTAATGTAGCTGTGGGGTATCTTTAAGCGCTATTGACGTCTTTTAATGGGGATCCTGTGGTCTCTAGTTTTACTCTACTTCTGTTCTGTTCTCATACTAGTATTTTAAAATGCAAGTTTTCTTCACCGTTTGTGATTTTACAACATGACGTATTGCGGGATGTAGTAGGTATTGTATCAAAATTTCTCTGGTAGTTAACAAATCCTAGCAGAGTAGGCGTTGATGTGTATATTTTTCAATAAGTAATCATATAGTGGATCCCTTGTGAAATAGAGTGCCGGATTAAGCAAGCGCGGGACCCGTGGCAAATTCTTTCAAACAGCCCTTGCTAAACAGCCTTTGCTATGGGTTCTTAAGTATAAAGTGATAAAAAAATGCTCTTACATACTTAATAAGTTTCACTCAAGAAATTGCCACTTCAGCTTATTAATATGAGCTATTTCGAAGTCGAACAAAGATAACTGACGTAGCAAGAAGTTGATTCATACTTCCACTTCACGGCGATCTTCTGTGCGGTCGTAGTACTATGTTGGACGAGCCTGTCCACTCTTCCAACGGCAGAAGGAGATGCGTGGCCCTTTTGTAAGTGAGAAGGTGGGTAGCAAGCTGATAGTTCACTGATGTTTATTGATAATGGTGGTAGGGCCACGCAGCAGTCTCGGCTGTTGCACGAATGCCTCGTCCGGGAAGTACCACGACCTCACAGAAGACCGGCGTAAAGTGGAAGTATATTACTTTCGCGTTTCGTCTGGTGAGTGAGGCCGGAGCCCAATTTTTAAAAGGTTGTCAACTCATCTGGAGCCCTCGGGCGTAACAGATGTCCGTGGGCGGCGGTATTCACTTAACATCAGGTGAACCGTCTGCTCGTTTGGCATCTTTTCACATAAAAAAAATAAAAAAATTGTTTATTGTGTAACCGCCGCCCATAACATTTGCAACACCTACGGGTGTTGCAAATGTGGTTACAGATGCGTTGCCATCTTTTTTTTGGTTTTTTTTTGTCAAAATTTCTTTACTCAACATAGGCTTATTTTAAGTTCTTATTAAATGTCAAAACGACCACAGGTTCACTAAACTACCTAGACCGGCCAGAGAAGAACCGGCAAGAAACTCTACGGTCTTATCTTTTATTTTCTTTGAATTATTTCAGTATTTACACAAAAGTAATTAGGAATAAAATTAGCAGGAGCCGGGGACTTGCAAGTGCAGAGCACGAGTCGTTTCCACACATCCTTGTCCTCAATTTATTCGACAGTATAATAGGCCCTCCCATTAAGGTAGCTTTTACAAAATGTTTTAAATTATTTACACTTAATTGCTTGTATATAAAGTGGGCCCCGATCACTAAACAAGACCAGAAGCCCATTTCACTTCGGTCTTCTGTGAAGGTCTTCTGACGCACCTGCCCATTCGTGCAACAGCGAAGACTGTTGCGCGGCCGTACAACACTCGTTTATTTTTTATACATATAGTTCAGGCAATTGAAAGACACCTAAATCGTCATAATTATAATTATTTATTCATGTATATTTATTTGAATACATCAAAAATTTTTGGTGTAACACGACAATCGCCCAAGCAACCCCGTGGCCACTGGCGCGAAAGTAGGCCAGTGCGCTGTTCGCAAGTTATCTCATTGTACATCGTAAGGAATGTACCAAAAACCTACCTCTACTTAGCTCGAATAATGTGTCTCTAGAAATTGTAAAAACAATTATACAAGTTAAACGTTTAAAATTAAATACATTAAATACACTAATTAAAAAAAAATATTAAATCAGTCATTTACAAAGCACTTTTTTGACATAACCACTACGAACGCTCAGTTTGTGATCCAATGACGGCGATTGGGTTTTCCTTTTTTTTTGTTATTGGGACTGGGCATATTGCACTATTGGCGGAACACAACCCACTTAAATCGCATCAAAAAAGATTCGCTATGGCCCGAGTTAAAACTAAAACAATCCTTGAGCCCAATCTTATTATAGTAACGGCTAAGTTTTCTTTATTACATAACTTAATTTAACATTAGCAAGTGATTGATTTTGCATGGTGATTCTCACGATATTTTTATCGTGATTATTTTTCATCGAAATTTGTTTGTCATAGCATATTGATTATTTAATACAACAAAAAATTAAACAAAATTACAATTAAGAGCATTACATGATTTCCAATATTGCCTTTCTCCAATTGCACGCCCAATGTTTCTGTCTAATTCAATCACTTCGACACTTAAGCACTAATCTAAGTAACTTGTACATCTAAGGAAATGGCATAATTTGAAACTTCTTACGTTTATGTGCATCGGCCGAGGCCAAACATTTATCATTAAGTAGTCGACAGATTTCCTCATCAAAATCGAGATATAAAAGAAAACAATATCCGCCATTTTGTTTCCGACAACGTTCGGAAACGGGAAATGATTTATTAACATCAACTTGCAAATCTCAACTCTGCGTTCGCAAACGAGAGGACTTCATAACATAATTTCATTAAATATTCGAGTGAAAATAAAAAAATTCTGTTCATTACATAAAAAATACCAGGCTCCCTCACACTGTTTATATAATATTAGATTAAAAATGATTATTAAGATTCGAATTCGACGCACGACCTTCGTCGCGGGGGACACTACTTAAAACTATCTATAAATAACTAAACACTAATAAAATACTGACAGCGTCCACAGTAGAAAATATACACCTCCTAAACGAATTAGGTACCCGATAATCACAAGCATACACTGTGTATTAAAAACCATGCTACACGTTAACTTTACACGAGATATAGGTACGGCTATTTACAAAAATTTACACATCGCAAACATAAGAAAAAAAAAATAGAAATCAAACGAACACACCGCCGTGCTGACACGCATCTAACGTATATCAAAATTATAAATAAGTAACATAGGTAGTGATATGAAACTATATTTACAGTAATTGTCATTTGGCGACCAATAAAGAGACTTTATCGAAACTTCAAAATCGAAACAAAACATCCACTAAAGATCAAGGTTACGGAGCGTTTTAAAACCCACGAGGCAGTGACTATTTCATTATGGAGATTTTACAATGACCTATGAACGTTCGGAAGCAAAGCGAAAAACGTTGTGGTTTTAAAACAGTTCAATTCTTTTTCTTTACTGGATGATCCGTATTCATTATGATTTATATTTAATGACCCAAAAATATTCGATTAATGACGGATAATTCATTAAGTAATTTGCTTTAACACAATTTTCTGAGCGATTATGAGACGATTATTCACGTTTAGTTTATTTCTGTAAGATGAACTATTATATTAATTTTGTTTATAGGACAATGTTGCGGAAAAATTCTGTGACAACTAAGTTATTACATCACGACCTACTGCGTTCAAGCGACTAAATCTCTATTTGTATCGAATAGTTTTTAATTGCTACGCTACTCCCGTTCCAATACTAAAAGTAATAAAAATAAAATCCTTAGGCCGTAAAAGTTAGACGCCATAGCCTGATTGAGAACATAAAAACTACTAACAGAGACTTTCGCTTTCTTAATTGCGTGACGACGTTAAAGATGGTGAATTTTTGCCGCCATTATAACTTTCTACTTTCAAAAAACGCTTAGGCAAGTTGAAAAGTTCGAGAGACTGACATTTGATAAGTGCAACCATATGTGTCTCATTTTGGATATTCATAATTCAAATAAACCTTCGCGTAATGAGAATACAGGATGTTTTATATATCCGGTGATTTGCAGATCGAGACTTAAATATGGCAATAGACGTTTACGTGCATTCTTCTTAAGAGACCATTTGCCTGTGGCCGTTTTGACCGCTTCCGTTCTGCGATGGGAAGAGAACGCCCTCGTACGTGACTCCGTTCAGTTCGATTGAGACGACGAGTTGCTGGTCACCAGAGGTCGCGTCACCTGCGAACAATGAATACAGATTATTATCATTGGGCTCTATTTAAAATTAGACATGAATAAAGCAGTATTGAATAGTAACGCCCTACGCGTTAAAGGTGTCGGGATATTTTGCTGAAGATAGCGTGATGAGATTCTTTAAGTTTAAACCTGGTATATGGTTCTTTTGTTGCTTGAATGAAGGGAAAAACACAGATCGTCATAAAACAAATAATAAAAACAAATAGCGTTAAATATGATTTTAAGATCAAGCAGTTTTGACAATCAGCAGAAATATCGCCAAAAAACCTACCAGCCAATACAATTAAATCTATTTCTAAAATACTGTGTGGACTGGTACCAAATATTTATTTTAATTTATCTGTATTCGATGTAGTCAATGCACAGAATCATTCCATTTTCTTTTTCTATAAAAAATATATGGGTGTCACCAATTTTCTCATAATATAATCGCCACGCATCGCGCGGCCATGCGTAGCTTGATTGTGTGTGACAAGCTGCCGGTCAGAACTCATCCTTTTTTGGCATTGGGGTAAAAGAGAAAATTTTAGACTGTATCAGGGAAATTGGCAGGGAAGGATAGAGCCTTCGAAAGCGGTAAAAGATTTATTAGGGATTATTCATCCAATAAAATCATTTGTGTCCATCCGTTGACAGTGCATGTTACTTTGCCAGGGCCACGTACCAACATCGGAAATTGCATGAATGGGCATGCTCGTCCTTTTAAATACCACGGCTTCACAGAGAACTATCGTGAAGTGTAAGTATTATATTTTCGCGTTTCATCATTTGAGTGAGGTAAAATTTTTTTAAAGTCTGACAGCACATTTGCAATCCTCGTTGCCTCTCAATATCTGTACTTGGTCCTTCTGAAGACTGTCAAAATAGTCTGAATAGTCATCCCTCAAACGAAACGGTGTCTCGTCTGGTCTTTTCATCAGATTGCATAGATATACTCTAAACATCTCTCTCAATTGGTTCTGTTATTTTTTTTTTCATTCGTTCACAAGCTGTCCAACAACAAGGTACTGCCCCTAACACCTTTGTGTGCCTTTGACAAGGCACACGACAAGTGATTTCTAGCCCCCTTAAGGTTCTATCAATACTAATTAGTTTCAGTGGTCAGGGTCTAATCTCCTAACCGTTTCCAACGTATGGTATCCAAGTCCAGCACACATAGTACCACACCTGGCGTTGCCTCGGCATTGACCGCCTGGCCAGCTGTTTGAAACGTGACAACACTCACCCCTGGTGGTTATTTTGAAGGCGGCGCCGTTGACGCCGTTCGAGTTGCCGTTGAGCTGCGGCAGGTGCGCGGCGTGCTGGGCGTGGGCGGGGTGGGCGGTGTGCGCGGGGTGGCGGGGCGGCGACGGGGGCCGCGGGGTGCGCCGCTTGGCGGGCGGAGGGGGGGAGCGGCACGCCTCGCGCTTGCCCCCGCTCGCATTCGAGTTCGGGCTCTCGCTCAGGTTGAGCGCCTCGCTGTTGCGGAAGGGCGGACGGTTATTCACTGCACCCTTAGCTCCACGACTCTTTAGCGGTCTTATGCAGAGTTGAGCTGACTACAGCTACGTCTGGCTTTGCCCATGTGCGATGACAATCGCCGTCTTTGGCCTGATAAAGTTATCGCACAGCCGATTTACATCTTTAGGCATCGACTTCAAAATTAATCGAGTAACATGATTGAAGCTCAATTATAACGAATTTAAATGAATAAGATTTAGTTCAGGTGCAGCGGGACTAAACTTTGATTCGAATTCCGATTCCATTTCTTTTCTTTATTAGTACACTATACCAAAATGCCATAATTATTTGAAAAGACTTCACGACACGGAAGAGAATAAGAAATAAAGAAGAGAATACTGAAGTTAAATATAGAAATACAATTATTTTCAAATATACAAAACGAAAACAAAAGCTCTTGGTCAACATAAAACTGCCAAAGATGCCGCGAAAATTGGTAAGGAACTTAAAATAAATAAAGTAAACGGTAAAGTAAGTAAAGGAATAGAATACAGACTCGTACCGCTGCGGCTCGAGGTCCGGCTGGGGGCTGTTGTTGTTGTTGTTGTTGTTGTAGAGTGACCACAGAGTGAGGCGCGACACGTCGATGGCGCTCAACGCCGCCTCGCGGGGCGACATCATCGTCCCACCACTACCTGGGGGCGACTCGGAGCCTGTAACAACAATTGTTGAAGCGAACCTTGTAACACTATCAGATATTGTTTCTTTAAAAGAATACGAGTGTAGTTTTGACCAGCAACCAAAAGTTACAACGGTAGCTCTTACACTGCCGTGTTCGGGGATTAGAATAGTTTTGATAAAAACATGCTATTGTTGATGTAGCTGGTTTTGAAGCACTTTTTTAATTCCCAATGCGTGGTAATGTATGTCAGCAAAGTACGAATATACCGATTGACGGATCGGTGTAATAGAAGTAGTAGTCAGCAAAAAGATAGCAAATTTAAATTCTGTTTATTTTGTTATTTTGTTTACAAAATTACCTGTATAAAATTATATACATAAGTATTTTTAACCTGTTCTGTGAATAAATATTAACCAAGACAGTCCTTGATAAATTCCAGTGAAGGTAGACCTAACGAAGTTGACTGTGGTGTTCTACCAGCAACTTCTGCTGTTACAGGAATGGGCTGGCTTGTCAATGAACAACGTAAAAACTATCAACGTTATATCAGAATATTGACATCAATTAGAATTATTTTTACTTTTGCATTTCGCCTGGTGAGTATTGTAGGCGGCGACCATTCTCCGAAAGGTTTGCATTGCAACTGCAACGTCACGAGTATCAGCTATATCTTTGGGCGGCGGTAACAATCATAACATCATAATAATTTCCTGTATTTACGCGATTACACATTACTAAATTAAACTATGTTTACTGATTTATCGCGTTTATTTTTAGTTTTATTTCCCGACGTTTCGAATTCTTCACAGCGTTCATGGTCATGGAACAGACTGAGGCGTTAGACGTCGACTAACAATGACACTCCGATGTAACAACATGAACGCTTCATTTAGTAATCATAACATCAGATAAACAGCTCAATTTTTCAAAAGGTTGCCAACGCATCTGAAACCTTCGGGTGTAGGAGTCCATGGGCGGCGGTATTCACTTAACATCAGGTGAACTGATCCGGCTGCTCGCCTGGCAACTTTTCACATAAAAAAGCCTGCTTGCCAAACTGCCAAGAGTTTCTCCCACTAATAAAAGTGCTTACCGTTTCTTATTAGCTCGCGTTGTTGCTGTATCATCTTCATGTACTCCCTCACGCGGAATTCTATGTCGTGGTTGTGCAGGTGTGGCGCGTGCATCGGCAGGCGCGGTACTCCGCCCAGTGGCAGCGCCAGCGGCTGACTTAGCGGCATTGACAGTGATACGCCGCGGTTCAACGAAGGCTGGACAACAAATTGTACCGGTAAGGAAAAGGTACGCAATAATAACAATTAACCAAAGAACGGTGTCCGTGCCATTTGTAGCGCGCATTTCGCCCCACATTAAGGCGATGCGTGCTGTTCTAAAAGATGACGATTTGCTTATGGCCGCATCGCCAGTTGATAGTCCAGTTCTTTACGTGTACAAATCATAAACAATTTTCCTGGACATAGAATACTGTGTATAAAAAGATTTGTGAAAGCCTATAGAAAAGTAAGGCGGGTTTAATGAGATGTATTTAAAGAAAACAAGTTTGTTCTATATCATGACAGCTTTGCTGATGTGTGCCAATTCATTTATTTTTATCTGTCCTTCGTTATATAACTAACGTTTCAATACTTTTTTTTAGCGGCACAGTGATTTTAAACGTTAGAAATCAACCGTAATAATGTTATTGAGAGAGATTAATAAAAATAAAATTCTCTTCCTCTCGTCAAATATTCATAATTTTAATTAATACTTCATTAAATTCTACAGCTGAATCGTGTTGAATTGATTATCAAGGTCTAATATGTAGCAAAAATAATTTCCTCTATTCTTTTAAAAATACAGTTTACTTATATGAGGCATAAATTTCCGAATACGTGATATCTCTATACAAAGTTTTTCCAAATATGTTTGTCAAAGAACAAAGAGGCGTCAAACACAACAACAATCAACTTTTCGTACATGAACTAAATGTATCTATATAAATAAAATTATAGACGCCTGTCTTTGTACATTATCACGGAAAATCTATTGGATGGGTTTCATTTAATTCATCTTAAATTTATCTCTCAGAAACTAAACTTTATCTAAAAAACAGTTTTTTTGACGTCTTATAAAACGTCGATTAAATTTAATGTAAAGTTATGAAAGTGTAATAAACAACGATTTTATAGCACTTAGTGTTTAGTGGTGTCTTTTCTTGCTGTGGAAAAGTGGGGAAAGTGTTGTGGTTGATAATACAACAAGCGACGCAGACGAAGTTGCGGAAGATGAACTTGCAGGACTGTGGACTGTCTGGCTACAAGACTCTGGGATATGTACCCATTGCTCAAGCGAGAAGAGACAAGTCGCGGGTATCATCTAGTACATTACACAGTATGTGCTCTTACCATAGACAGAGCTGCGCTTACCATAGACAGAGCGGCTTGAGCGTCGTACTGTCCAGAGGCGCGGCGTCCCTCCCTCTTGTTGCCCTCAATGGCGGCGTCCAGCTCGCTGCGGGTTGACAGGTTCTTCTTCTCGCATTCGTAGTCATACAAGTACTTCATGTATCTGTAGGATTATCGTACATACATTTGCATTATAACATCAACACCCACCTGAATGAATCATTGAATCGATTGTGACAAAAACGTCTCTATCTTGAATACTCTTACTGCGACAGTTTTATCTTTAACAGTTCTTACTAAGCGTATTCAAATATCATCTCCGTTTATAGCAAGCGTCGTGCGGCGTTTTTTAATCGCCGAATGGCTTCGTGGCTTTTGTCATGCAAACGAATGAGAAGGTAGCGCTCGGCGTTTTATTATAAATGACATCTTCACCGCGTGACATGATAACACTGGGTCTAACGATGTACTGTCGCATTCACATCTATTGGTTCACGCTTGTAAATCATATCTCCTGTCTCAATTAAGGCTAACCCCTATCCTTCATTATGATGATGGAACGGGCCATTACATCCATAATTCCATATACACCGGTCAATTCTCTAAGGGACATTGTCAGCTATTCTCCATCATCGCTTACATAAAGCGCTCACAAGTTTAATTCGGGGTAACAAAAGCGATTTTCAAGCGATCCAAGGCACAGTAAAAACTGGCTACCTCTTCACGAGCCGAAGAAGGTTGAATATACGACATTCGTCATTAATGTTCGGACGAACTTATAGAGAAACGACAACGTGGCACCACTTATACAAGTGTTTTTCTAGACGAACACGCAACGAGTACTGAAAAAGCACCGTGATTTAGGATTTGAATTTCCTTCGCGGTAAATACCAAATAATATTTCAATAATAAACAGCAAGGTATGAAAGCAAATACAAACGGAATCGCCAGAGAAATCATCAAGAAAATTGCCAGTCTAGACTAACATACCAAGCTTCCGTTGAATTAGACCTCCAGAGCGCATGCAAAACGAAACTATTCAACGGCTTACGTTATTTAACAAGTGTCACAGTTGCACCAACTGTGGACGGTAGTGGGGTTGCCGTTAGACGAAAGGAGTGGCTAAGAGGTTGCGTGCGGACGACTGGAAATCCACGCTCGTGCGTAACGTGCACACTTTGAATTCGAAATGCGAGGCACCTTTATGTTGGGCCGACAATAGGCGGCGGGGTGAAGGAACTGCGCTGAATGATAAATGGGAAATTATATCGGCCGAGATGAGTTAGAGGATATTAATTATGGAGTTGTCACATTGTCGCGGCGGGCATTGTGGACGCGTCTTTGTCTCCGGCCCGTGAGGATTTGAATGAGACTGATACAATGGGGCACTGTCGAATATGGAGCGGCGGCTCCTATCCCGTTCGTGGACCACACGGGCGTGTATGACTAAGCTCATGACTGTGAGACGGCAATGCGAGCTCTCATTCCGCGCGACCTAAAACGATATACAGACATTCGATACTGACTTACAGCCGCGAGTAACTGTTGGTATCCGACGAAGGAAGATCTGACGACGAACCGCTTAATAAAAGATAAAAACATTCTTCCGTATATTTTAATAGCGCCTTGTCGATAGCAAATACATTCTATTTTATAAGTCTTATATTGTTCACGTCAGTCAATGTACTTTGTCGCAGTTTAATATCAGTTGTACAGAAGTTACATCGTTACAATGAGCTTGAAGAGCACCAACAAAAATCGACGTCGCAATGTATTCAAAGTCTTATCCAGATTTTTTCCTAAATAGCGCCTGACCAATACTTTTAAACTCCATTTGGAAAACTCGCAAGGAGAAATTCTAACGAAAAACATAACGACAAAAATTCACCCCATCTAACGGCACAGAACGAATCCAGTGTACATGGAAACATTAATGTCAAGTGTTCAGTTAATGTTCCCGTCCCGGAGTCTATTTCGGTGCGCTCAAGTTAGTAACACACGTGAGAGTCAATTCCATCTGACCGTTTGCGATAAAGGCGTCGGAAGCCGTACGGGTATAAATTTGATTTAACCGAAACAAATGATCATTCACATACGCCAACATTTGCCTGCCCATCTGACTGGCCAGTATTATTACACAGTAGAGAAATGAGAAACAAATGAAACCATTTTGCCGGTCCTTATTTTGTTTACTTTGAACTTATATTCCCCACGTTTCTATACTGCATCATTTATGGTCGCAGAAACAGAAACAGTTTCGCCTAACAATGCGTAGTATACATTTAAACGGTCATTATGAGGAAATCATTTTACTAGCCGAATAGAAGCGTATTGAATGCGTTATAAAAAGAGAAAGAAATATATAGCAGTTCGCTGCGGATTTTACGGGCCCTTAGGAGCCGGCTGGGTCTCGAACAATGGCAGAAGTATCAGCATCGTACTTACTGTGTGCGCAGCGTGAAAGCGGCGGAGGTGATAGAGGAGGGCAGTCTCAGGCCCTTGATGATCTCCTGCCACAGCTTCTTGTTGATGACCTCCACCAGCCCCCCGCGGGCGATGACCAGGTTGTAAAGCTCGTACAGGTCGAGCACGGACTTCGCCATTATGGGCAGCCGGTTTATGGGAGTGCCTGCAACAATGGAACGCGCGTTAGTTTGTTTCAATGGCGAATCTTGCCTTCCCCACGGATCTATAGCACAGTTGTCAGGACCATCGCGTATAGAGGTTTATCTACAAGCTTTTTTATTATAGTAATACACGTTATGGATAACACTTTTTTACGGGTAACTTCATGTGTTCATTCTTTTCATTTTGCGGATCACGAATTTCGATTTGATCTTATAGGAAAATAGCCACGTTTCGAAGGCGGTTGACTTAGTTACTCGGCGCGTTGATGAACCTCAACGTGATATCTGCACACACACATTCACACTGAACGGTCATATCCCGAATCTGAGTAGCAGCTCGTCATGGGCCCAGACTGCCAACATTACGGACGGCAATTAGCCCACCGACAACGGCCGTCCGCACATCAAAGCGACCGCGGAAGCGACCGCAATGCACCGGGGAGAGGAAGGAGCCGGCGGAGGAGCGGTGGCGCGAGGGGGGGGGGGGGGGGGGGTTTGCTGTAAAACCCTTTACGGCGCGCCTCGCGAGGGCCGTAAAGGCGCGCGAGCGTGCCAAATCGCATCGCATCGCGATCGATGATTTACGAGCGCGCGGACGCGTCGGATCGCGCGTTTACGACGCGTTACCGGTGCGGATTTAGCGCGGGCACGGTGGCCGCACTAAATCCGCGCCGGTAACGCAATCCGCAATTGTTTATCGGGACCCGTCGCTGTTGGATGTACAGTTAGGCCCACAGTCCACTGCGAGCGGCGATCGCGCGGCCGCCTTAGTCTGTGTTGGACATTATTGCTTTCGCCGAAAGCGTTATCTAACCGACAAAAAAACTCTATAAAAGTTAAATAATAGCACTGGGACTGTTACAGAAAACCATGCCCGCTGCATGTTGCGTGGTTGCCCGTATGCGTAGACCCGTGGGGTCAAAATATGGCCTGGATCATCATCTGTATAGTTTCTATGAGATTCTGATATCTTGATTATTTTTAGTTAAGATCCATCTCGATTATATCTGCTTTCAAAGAAAAAACGGCATCTTAATCGGTCTCAAATTGGAATTCAAATATCTTTATTCAATATCTAAGCATTACGCTTACTTATTGATTGTCAAAACGCTACCACCGGTGCGGAAAAGAGAAGCCACTGACCTGTGAAGAACCGGCGAAAGAAACTCAGCGGGACATTATTATTTTACCATCATTTGATCAGAAACATGTCTAAAAATGTATTGAAGTCCACTTGAAAGAGATTAGAGCGATCAATTCATTTCCCAGGTATAACACACCATTTAAATAATCACTAATATTATAATAGCCCATAAGAAACAAACTGTCGTTTACAATTATTTTGAATTTAAATATTGATACATTGTGAACGTTTTCTGGGACTTTGTTGTAAAAACGTATACATTGTGCCAAAAAAAGAATTACTTATTCTAAGCAGTCTAGTTGTGGGTAGAACTAATTTATTCTTGTTCCTAATATTTATTTATATCATGCAAAAAAACCTACTTCAAACAACAAGCATTGTCAACACTTATAACATTTGAGGATTGCCCTCGATTTCTCTGCGATGCCATCATCAGATCTGGGTTTCTTTATCATGGTACCAACCTTGGGATATCTCCTTTCCAACAAAAAAAGAATCATCAAAATCGGTTCATAAATGACGAAGTTATCCTCGAGCACACATAAAAAAAAATATACGGTCGAATTCAGAAACCTCCTCCTTTTTTTAAGTCGGTTAAAAAACAAGAATGAATTTTCAAGTATGTAAGGAATCATTTGAATATTACAATAACCCTTTAACACAGAAACGTTACTTTACAATTATGAACTTAGCAACTGATACATCTTGAACGTTTTCTGTGATTTTGCTCTTTTTCGAGTATACCTCGAGAAAAATTAGCTAAACGATGTTAAATATATAATTAAATATTAATATATTATTCCGAAAACAAGTATAAAAACATCTTAACATATCAACAAAATTACTAAACAACAATAAAAAGTAATAAGTAAGTCATTCAAAAAACTCGTTACAGCCTTACGAATTAAAGAAAATTGTGATGTGAAAGCCGTCTTCATTTGCGTCGACATACTGCCTACTCTTTCAATGGCGAATCAATAAGGCTCCGGGTGATAGATAACGAACGGGCTGTGTGCGAAAAGCGGGGAACACCCTTGGGAGAAGTGGGAGAATGAGGGGGACAAGCCCGTTTCGCGCCAACGATCGTTTATTGATGAGAGCGAGGCATTAGCGGATGCCTAAACGGCTATTAGTCAGAACGCCTTCTCGTCTGCACTTAATCATTGCTCCGGTTATCTGCGGGTGGGGGTTGAGGGGGTTGCTGATGGGTGCCCCAATATGCCCTCTCCAGAGATTAATTGCCGCCTTAACGTTTGAAGGGAGCGCCGGCTGTGTACGATCGTATTGGAGCAAATATAACCGGGGAAAATTAAACGATGACGTACCTATTACTTCACGTGTTTCAGATGCTCTATCGAGATAAATTGTATACATCTGTTGTATATATCCATAAAGGCCCATTTACACGATGCCATTTTCTTGTACATGCAAGAGCAATAATTGAATGCAATAAATTGCACGCAATAAATTGGTTAGACGATTTGTTGTTTAGACCATGCAACTTATTTATTGCTTCAATTTAATTGTATACAACAGGCAAGAAACTTGCACCGTGTAAATGGGCCTTAAGGTTTATGTTCGAAGCGTGAATCTTTCAAGACAAGACTCGCTGATTAGCAGTGTATAAACGTTGCTTCTCCTAACTATAAATCCTAACTATATAGCTATAAATAGCTAAACAAATTCATTTGTAAACTTTGACGAACGACGAGTAATTTATCAAAGTCTACAAATGAATTGGTGCGTCATATGAGTATCATCGGAATTATCATTTCTTACGTGCACATTTGCCACATTATGGTAAATGTGGGCGCGGAGTCGCGTTAAAACAACGGTACGTCAAAATAACGTGGTGCGATCTAGAGGCTTTAGCGTAAATATTGGCGGGAAAGCGATTTCTTAGAACAAACAAACGATGGGGAATCGGCGATCGCATGCGAATCTAGCCGCCTAATGATAAAGCACGGCCCGGGGCTCGGGTTAATGCCCTCTAAACTGAATTCCGCTAACTCTAAACGTGTTATCAGACACGAAGCCGGCGTTAAGTCGGCCCGTTATGCGGAGACCGGACAAAAGGCATTGTTTATGTACGCAATCAGCCCAATAACGATTTCCACAAACGCGCGCCGGGGAAACGCGCGATTCGTCGCGCGTGCGTCCCGACCGCCGCGCCGCGCCATTTGCAAACCGACCATTTCTAATGTCCATCGGCGGCGTGCAGCGGCCGCGGCGCCGCCGGCGCGCCCGATTCGTCCGGTTAGGCGGTAATTTACGGCGTATGCCAAATCGCCGCCCGGAGCCAATCTAATCGCGCCCAATTGTGACAAATTATTGCTTTTCCCGCGAAACCCCTCGTGCGACGCGTTCGTCGTGGATTTTCACTTTATGGACCCGCTGGGCCGCGTCGGGTTTACGACGCGCCGGGGCGATTCTTCGCGCCGATAGTTACAGTGTTGCATTTCAGCGATTATTCTCACCTCGCCCGATGTTTATTGGCAATCGATGTCGCTTAGAGCTGCCCGACCCTTTTGTGCTACGGACGAGCGGCCGCAGTAAATCGCACGCGCACGCCCCCTATTGTCGGTGGAGGGTAGTAAATAACGGACGATTAGCCACTTTAATCTCAACGGTAACGCTGAGGCATTCGTATCGGCGAGGATTTACGAGCGGATTAGGGAATGATGCACGTTCCTCGTTCAGTCGTCTTCGATATATGGTGTAGATGAAATGAATCATATTATACTCTATCTACTTAGTACATGTCGTGGGGAAGTGCTTTTATCGCTTATCCGATTTTTTAACGTACAGTTCTGTTCGAATAGTTTTACAATAACCAAAGCTCAGCTAACGATTGTCTTCCACAGCTAAACAAGACATAGGACTTTTTCCCAAATCCACTTAATTGTGGGGCAGGTTGTCGACGGTTTAAGCGACCATCGATTAGTAAGTGAACATGCCGCCCATAGACTTGCGAAAGATTTTACCGTTCTATAACGTCGCCGGCCTTTTAGAATAAAACAGAATCTTTCACGGCCCTGAGCCATATCGACCTGGAAATATCGCCGACGACAACTATACCTTCACGGAGTGGTTAACTAACTAAAATTCAGTTTTCACATTCGAGTACTGCGTTCATGTATAAGGTTCACAGTCTCATTAAACAATCAAGATTTGAACTGTATGAAATAGACTCTAGAGTACCCACCCCTATAAGATAAGAGATATTTGATCAGTTTATCTTTTAACTCAGACCGTGTTTGTACAGAATAGTGTTGGATGTTAGGGGCGAGTCCGTTGGAGGTCGCGTCGGTTAGGGACGCCGCATTAATCGATGCCGCGGGGATCGACGCCTACCTCTTATCGAGAGCTGTATCAAGGCCCTGCTCCCTCGCCCCGCGTGGCCAATCGGAGGCGCGCAATAGCGGCGCCGTCCCGCCATTGGTTTGATACGCTTTTGATCGCGCCGCCCTTCTCGATCCGCGGCTTGATCAATCACAATTACCCGCTTATATCGATGCTGCGTCCCACCGGCTTCGCTCCGGCTACAATGCAGTTTGGTCTCTGCACTTAAGAGAATACAGTCGCTTATACAAAAAATCGTCTAAGTCTAACGTCGTTTTTTAATAGAGCGCAAACACATAATTAGATCTACCATCGATTCGTCGAAGCGTTCATAATCAATGTCGCACGGTGATGTATTAAATTATAAATAGAAATAAGAATGGGACGTGTTCGAATCGCGAAACATAGGGAAAATGATGTGGCAGTAAAATGTTTACGATTCCAAGTATAAATTAACGTTAACGCGACAAACGTTAAACGTGCCTCTAAATATAATTCATATTATATTATTGCGATACGGATTAATTGCAAAATGGTAAAGTGTAAATGATGGTCTGCATTTTGTTCTTATCTAAAATTAAACAATTTCGACTGGTCTGATGTAACGTAATATCTTTTAGAAGAGCCTCATAAATATACTGTGGCGACACAAGATTTATGAATTTTTAAAAGCCAACATAACAATAACACTAGGTTTGTATTATTTAAAATATAATGTGTATAACAAAAACTAATATATATTACGTATCATTTATTCTTAAAATAACACAAACAATGTAGGCCTTTACTTTAAAGATAACATCACGAAACGCCGAAGGGACCACCGTAAATTTTAAAGTTTCCCAAATAGCCTTAATATAAAAGCCGTGAAACGAATCAAACGTCTAATTGCGGAGCGCACGGCTGTATTTCAAATTTCCCGCATTAAACTAATAAATGACAACTAGCCTCTGTTTAGACAGTCGTTACGGTTTTACGAGTGGCTGGATTTATTGCGGCTACAAGAGAGGTTTTAATTTAGGCACACGGTGCCAGCGGTGTTAATTTTCACGCGTCGAAAAATCGCAATTCGCGCGAAGGGCTCGCCCGAAACGGCACACATCCAAAACGAGAAAACAAGGACCGCAACGCGAGCGGCAACAATAAAACAATACGATGATAAAAATGTTTCTTAATGCGCCGAACAACTTGCACAATGCGCGAGCGCTAAGCCCTCGCGCGATCGTTCCGCGCGCGGAGTTATCATAACTCAATATGTATTTATTGCTCGTAGTACAAATTCTGAGAGATACGGCGCGGGGAATGACATAAGGCCGAGGATACGACGATCAATCATGAGGGGAGCAGTAAAGTTGAGAACAATCCAGCGTAATTCCGTCTGAGGGACATTAAAATGGCGGCCGCCCTATCCGGTGCAACATTGTGGCCAACTGAGCGCCCGCTAAAGCACTTTCTTATTAGAATTATTCCGCCGAATGACGACTGTATCGACTTTACGTCCATATTCATATATTTCTCTGTTGTAATATCGAAAAAATATATTAACATATTCTGGAAAACGCTATGAGCTAATAACAAAATTAATAAGCAAAAACAACTGGTCGCATTATCACACAGGCGTGCGGTTTAATAGGCATAAATCATGTATATGGGAGCAAATCAAAACTGCGAGGCGTATTTAAGTATTGCATCGCTCAGTGGAATTCAGGGGGCCATTCGATGTAATTGGCAATCATTCAGAAAAGAATATTCTCTCGCTCCAACAATCAAGACAAAGGCGGCCGATAGTACCTACGGGCGAGCCATTACAGGTCAATACCCATTATTATGCGATATTTTCGCGAGCACAGCCCCCCGATATCCCGTACGCTCACATGAGACGGCAAATATCTGTAATTAAAGGTTGTAAAGTTGATTTACAACTGGGGCCCGAGTATCGAACCTTGGGGAACGCCTCGACCAATGGCGTGCCTGGGGGCCGATCGCGCCGCGGCTCGTATCAATTTATTAGAAACGTATGAAATCCGCGGCTGCGGTGGCTTCGGCGGGCGATAATGCGCGTCCTGCGGTCGCGGATCCCATCTGTGCGCGGCGGATCGTGGCAGATAGTATCGAATGCTGTTGCGTGGTTTATGGTCCGCGCGGAGACGGTAACACCGGCAATAAAATCGCAACAATGGAAATGTCGGATGCGGCTGAAAAGCGACGCAACTATGGCAGATCATTGCGATGGATGCAACAATGGAATCCTTGAAATGATGGTGGCAACTATCGACCGACCATAAAGACGTACAAAGTCCTAACAAAACCTGGTCAATTGTGTGAGGCTACAGACGTGCAATATGAGCGTATTTTAATAAACTTTCATACTTTACTTTCGCACGAACACTTTCTCTTTTGTTTAAAACTTTAAATCTCGTAGTGAGTTCGAAGATGAGAAAGAAAGGAAAGATGAAATTTATTTAATTTTCACATGTTTTTAATAGTTATTTTTAGATAAAGAATTTTTCCACTCAGTAACAATCTATTTCTCTATGCATAGCGTGCCCTAAATGAATGATAAAGAATATTGTTAGAAAATTTAAAAAACCATTGAGATTTAGTACATAATTTATCGTTGTCATAGTAACGGTTCTAATCCTTGTGAGCATTGCGAAAATTAGCACTTAAGGCAAGACAACGTCTCAAACGTTTACAACGTTGTTAGACTCGTTGTCTGCAATTATATCGGCCAATGTTTTATTGGTTCATACGATGGAATCTATCGAGGTAACCGTTCATAATTCCAGTATTGGCAATACAAACTGTATTTATGGTCCCGCAGAATTAAGTATTATAGCAGTTATTACTTCGAGGTCTATTCGGTTTTTACGAGCGGCGTTTTGTCGCTTACGGGAATCGTAAAATACAATTGGAAACCTTTAATTTTGTTTATCATTTCTTTTGTTCGGCACACATTGTTGCTAATTGTTCGCATACAAAGTAGATGGAGCGACAACAGTTTAATATCGTACACGGCTTTATGTTAGATACACGCGTGGTCATGTCACGTGCATTTCAGTTGTAACAATAAAGATATGATAGATAATTAATTTTAATGTACAATTAACTTTACAATGTATTACTATTATGTCAAGAATATCTTTTATCGTTAAAAGAATATGGTTACGTGTTCACAGAGGCATTAAAAATCATATGATTATAGTTAATGAAGGAAAGAAAATATTACGAGTAGTCTAAATACCAAATCAAATACGACTTAGAATTAGACAACAAATTGTCATAATATTTATTCATAAACAAAAGATAGCGTTTATCTTGTTTAGATATTTAGTTGGGTGGTGCATAGCAATCTTATTTTAATCAATGCCCCATTGATTAGAAATAAGCGAGCAATTAAAATATATGTGTGTCAAATGTTGGTATGAAGAAATGGGAAAGTTTTGAAAGTAAAACGAAATATAAAACGGAGTTGAGGTGCAGAAACGCCACTGCCACCGTGTTCGAAGGCTCGCCTCGTGGCGTTTGAACGATGATTTGAATCACAATGGCGGACGGCGTCGCACTGATGACGTGGCGGTTTTCGGGGCATCGCTTCAAATTTATGATATTCCAAATTTAAACGCGTCACTTTAAACAAAAAAAATCCTCTCGCGCCATTTCAGACTGGTGTCATTTAAAGAGAAGCGGTAAAACGCGGTGTTTACATGAACTACAGATATAATTTTCACATCTACCTTTTTTAAAAACAGATTTATTTATAAAAACTGGTTAAAAATGTGTTGCGATGGGAAAAAACACAGTGGGTTTAGCGACGAGGACCAGATCCCCAACAAGTAGGTTGAGACAACAAAGAGTTTATAATACATAACGGAAATAAAATAATCCATAGATGTACAAAAAAATCTCACAATGGAGTCAAAGGGCAGCCAGTTTGACAATGGCTGATGGGACAAATGAGGCGTCGGCCACAATGGGGCATTAGCATAATTTGGCCGCGTCGACGAGGAAATGGAGAGGTTCCATCTGACAATTCGACTGTTTATCATTACCACTCGCCGAACAATAGACGAAGCTGGTAGCGTTCATGCAAAAGCCAAATGACATACACGGTCGTATGAATGATTCCTGTGTGGCTATCGAAAAATATCTGGATCCGATCCTCGGCACGGATATTCAACGGACAGTGATCGAATAATGTTTTTAATTTTCTTGTGAATATATCGTACCAGAATTCATTGAAATAGCTGAACATTTTTTGCAAAACCAAAAGAAAATATTCTTGACGTTTATTGTAACATGAATATAAATATAGACACTAAAGAGAAACAAACATTCGCTGGCATATGTGAAATAATTTAAGTTTACTTTTAATAAATACCCTTTGAATTGTATACTTTTTCGTTTTTTTTTATGTGAAAAATTGCCATGCGAGCAGATGGTTCACCTGATGTTAAGTGACTACCGCCGCCCATGGACATCTGCTACACCCGAGGGTTGCAGATTCGTTGACAACCTTTTTGAAAATCGGGCTCCGGCCACCGCACTCATCAGACGAAACGCGAAAGTCGTGCAGTGTGAGGTCGTGGTACTAACCCGGACGAGCCTGCCCATTCGTGCAACAGCCGAAGCTACTGCGTGGCCCTACCACCGTTAAACTTTGTCTAAGAAGTTTGTTGTTCTCTGTTCACTATTGCTTCTCAATACATTTATTGTAATGTTTTGTATATTCGTCATAACGTTAATTTTTACCTAAAGAATAGTGACAGACATAAATTAAACACTAGAAATAAGGACATACTTACTACGCCATTGTTTCGCCTACAATAAGTAAATAGGTCGTTCATGGGGCAAGGTATGCCCATGTGCTCATCAATGCATGTGCTCATCAATGGTTAAAGCATATTACACTATTGCGGAATATCTCGACGACGCCAATGTGTGGAGTTAATACTGTTGATACTCACGTAGGGTAGAATAAGATTATTATCCCGGTATCTTATATTGTAAACTGATATCTTTGAAAAAGAGCAACTGTTGAGTTTCTTGCCGGTCTCTTCTCAACAGAAACTGCTTTCCGAACCGGTGGTACCTTACGAACCTCCATGTATAATGTTTTAGGAAAAATCTGACGATTCATAAGAACGCGCAAGCGTCTATTTGAATAAAGATTTTTTGATTGATGGATTGATTGTAATTTAAGCCCACACCACTTTCGCTATCAATTCGTGATAAAAAGCGCTTTGTGGGGGTTGAGGTTGTATAGCTTATCGGTGTATTGACATCAGGCCGCTTCCTGTGCCTCGCCCCACAATTGCCTCCTTAAACTGTTCAGATAACACTACCCATCTACTCGGACGCATTATCGCCCAGTTTTTTTTTCGCTATGGGTATCTACTAAATAACCGATATCTACAATAAAACTATTGTTAATGAATTTTCGACGTTACGATAAAATCGATAGTACAATCTATTTCCGTCGAAACTGTTAAATGAATCAGCCGCATACAAAATGTGAGACTTGTGATCGATTTATTACGTTAAAAGTCATCGATCATATATTTGAATAATGTGATGGGATGATGGAGAATTTATTTAGACAAAGCAAGTAATGTACTGTACCGTGTATTTAGAGTTTTTCTTCACCTGATACTTCACGCTTGGGAAATAAAAAAAATCCTATGAGATCTTTTTGCAAAACTTTGTCGAGCAATAGAAGAAGGCCACATTTATCTAACACAGTCATTGTCATTGTAGTTCCGTTAGGATATCCATGTATGGGTGGACCGGGTGTCCCTAACACCCGGGGAGAGGAGGCCTGAGAAGGCCAGAGTCGCGCCGGGGTTCGCGGAAGATTGCGTTTTCGTGTTCCCGTGTCCCCGGCAAAGCGACAGCGCAGGTGCAACTTGAGTTTTTAGTGAGTACCGTGTAACTCCCACACACCCCTGCTGCCTACCCACAAGGCGGCGGGGGATCCATAAAGGATTTTCTCGCGTAAAAAAAAAAGGATATCCATGTAGATGACGCGGTTAATACGCATGTAAAAGTGATGGTGATATTAAGTGAAGACCGTCGCCCATTGACATTTTCAACATAAGTAGGGTTGCAAATGCGTATGTTGAAAATGCGGGATGGGGTACCCAAGGCCACCCACGGCTACCTCACTCACTAATAACATCGGTCTTCTGTAAAGTCGTGGCCTACTTATCTGCCTTACTAAGCCTACTTATCCGGACGGATCTTCCCATTCTTGCAACAGCGCTGACTGTTACATGGCCCAACCACCGTAATATAATCACCATGTAAACGTATATAAAGTTTAAGTAATTATACATTTACATGGTGATTGTAATATTTGTGAGACTTTTCTTCAGATTTGTTCTATGAAATTCTGAAATTTTCAAACATTATCTAGTGCACACAACCAAATTACGCTCAAATAACTGTTCATTTATTCAAGCGAATAAAACTTATTTAATTTTGCATGAAACTCGCGCCATTTTCACACTGACAGCGGGTAATCCTTCATATTTGTGAAGATGGTTAAGATGAGAAAGAAAGGTATATGTATCGAGATGCACACTTTCGGTAGAGCGGCGTGTAATCGAGACGTTCAAAGAACGGCAGCTCTCAGACACGATCCGCCCAGGAAGGGGGGCGTGGTGATCACGACATAGTACACTAGAGGTGCCGCCTACTCGGTGAGCAGTGTCGCCCGACGAACCACTTCCAGAATTCACGTCCGAAAATGTCACAAGGTAAACACCATTCGGTGCCTTTGTGTTTACGTTCCAAACTTTACGAAAATAAAGAAAGTTCTAATTAGAAGTCAACAGTTTAACAATTCGAAATATGTTGAAGTTTCTTTAGTAAATCCTTTAATAAGCGGGTTAGCAATATTTTAATTAAGATTGTTGAATTCATTGATAAATTCTTACAATGATGCAAATCTATTTAATCTAATTTTTGCCGATACTTGATGTAAGTTTTTCGTAAAAATAAACAAAAAACTCGTTAAAACTATCACCAGCCTAATTATTTTTAATTAGTATATATTCTTTTCTATTTCCAAAAACTCAATTTTTAGAAGACGAGGTATTGGTAAACTATATTAATTATATAAACCACTTAACTAGATTGATTCGAGTACGAATATTCTGAATAAAAATTAGTTAGCTACCACTCTAACGAAAAATACTATAATGTTATTAAGTTCATATATATTTTAAATGCCTCATTAATTTTGTCTTAAATCATCTTCTATTTCAAAAGCTTATTCACGCGGGTCGAGTACCAGCTATGGTGGATTTTCCATTTAAAGTATCAGGCGAGCTTTTGTCATACTGCGCACTAAGCTTGTAACATGTCCGTGAGAAAGGCACACATAATTAGAATTACAGTGCGGATATGAGATAAGGAAGGTACCTTTGCGCGATAACGTATATCCGCTGGCTAAAATTACAGTGACCAACATACAGTGCACAATGAAGGTTTACGCAATATCTTAATATTTGGTCATGCCAAAAGCTATGAGGTACTGTGTTAGCTTATTAAATATCCTGTTAAACGTATTGAGAGAATTAATGAAATAATATCTTAAAGAAGTGCACAACAAAGAGCGGTTTTTTGGTTGCACATTTTCCTAGCGATGTAGATTTTTTTTTCACGATGGCAAAGGCAAGCGAGTGCGGGGTTCACATGATGTTATATTATCACCATAACGTGGGGTTGTAGATGTGTTCCCATCCTTTAGGAGTGGGCCTCGGTTACCTTACCAACAAATATAATAAAAACATATGGGTGCTGTAACAAATTTGAAGGCTTTTTATACTTCTACTTCATCCCTATTTCCGGGAACCCGTGCTACTTTCCCAGACGAGCCTCCCTATTTGTGCAACAGAAAACACTACTGCGTTGCCCCAGCACAGCAAAGTTTTATTTCGTTAAGTCTTATTATATAACTAGCAAGAATGAGTATTATTTTAGACTGTACATTTATTATTTTAGAACGTTTTGTTTTATTTCAAGACGATTACTCGTTAATATTGAGTCACCGCCTGACTCTATTGTTCTGGCACGAATGGCTAATGAACGTCCATTGAGGTGACTATTTCGAGATTTTAAAATAACGGAAATAATAAACTAATATTAGCGTGGATACCCTCGAATACAATCGGCATAGATATTCATAATCTATGGTGACATCAATTTCGTTACGTAATAACTGCGTTCAAAGCTAGAATTCCGTTTGAACTTCTTTTTTGTCTTTTAAATACGCGCGTTCAAGCAACACTAAAGTAACGTTATTCATCAATCATTCATGTTCATCACCATTTTTTGATGAAATCAATAATAAATATTGATAAACAAAGATGATATTGGACATCATTGATAGCTTTCCTAAAATTATTTTTTTTTTTCTCTTTATTTTAAAAAAGGGTTTAATCTTTACAGATTATGCCACCCTCATTGTGTTAACAAGATTACAAAATACACCAATAAAATAGGATTTACATTTATCAATTTAAACCACCTCTGCGTCTTATTCCTAAGTTAACAATTCTATAAAGTACCTAACCTGGCAGAATCCGATGTTGGATTTGCAAGGACCAGTACTCCAGTTTCGAAAAATATACCGAGAAAGAATGACACAACGGTTGTCTAATAAGTTAACAAGTCAGTCACTGCAACAATTTACTTATTACTAGCTAAAATATTATGACATAAAAACATAAACATGTTGCGATATGTTATAAACAGACAACAAAACAAATGTTCAAGATCATATTTGCTTCGCAAGTCGTGCATCAATTCGCCGACGCGCGGAGCGTCCAAATATTTATAAACCTTAAAAATATCCGCGGAATCGGACAGAGTTTCACCTGTCTTCCGTTGGGGATTAGACATGGTAAGTGATGGAGTCGGAAGCGCTGTCATCGGGCCGTATAAATAATCGCTTTGGCCAGGTCGTTAGCGGTCCCGGGCGGGCTGGCTTGGGCAATTTGGCCGGCCCATCAAGCCCACTATTGCGACACAATAGAGCGCTTTTAATTGCCGCTAAAAACGGAAACGTCAAGTGACTACGTCTTTGGTTGTCACGATTTAACGCCCTGAAAAGATATCTACAATTTTTCTCTAACCGACCGTTTACGCGATAAGCCTGAATACTTAATTATATAGTTCGACAAAGAAACGTTGAGAAATCCGGCGTCAGTATCATCTTGGTCACCTGTCGCCACGACAAACTTCGATAAAGAGAACTAGTTGTTGGTTAAACAAAAAAAAAATACAAAAAGTTGACACAATTATGTTTTGAGGCTGAACTAATACAGAACAAAAAGATCGTTGTTTCCATTGCTTCGTATATTAAAAAAAAACTGGCGAATATTCTCGCGCGTTGACAATGAGCACTATAAATTATACCGGGCACATTCGGACACGGGCCCGCCGAGTGATCCGCGGGCTAATTGCCTCCTAACGAGCGGCGATACGGGCCCGTATAGGCCGATGTCGGCCGGCCGACGAGTGACGCCCTTTATTTCATAGAGAGCCGAGGTGGCGACTATTCTCGTCCCTGGAAATGGATACGCGTCAATCGGCGTCAGAAGAACGAGCGGCCAGGAACAATGCGTTCCGTAACTATCTTTGGACGGCGGCAGCGGTATCGGCTTCCCGGGTCCGCACCGGGGCGAGAAACAAACGTGACATGTTGGATCATCAAGCGCGGCGTGATTGCATGACGGGACGCAGCGGAGGAAGTGGAGCGAAGTTTTTTGTGAAACTGAAAGCGGTCGCTATAACGTAGCGACCACTGCAATGAAGAAACTGGAATTTTCGGCTACGTAAAGCGCAATGCGGACGAAAGTCAAAGGAATGGTCCCTTTGGTTAACTTATAATCTCTCAATCCTCTCTTGATATACAGCTGAGTTAGTGCACCTATCATATGAAAACAGGGCGCTATAGTCTTTAGACAAAGTCGAAACTAAATCCAAGACCGATTAAGGAAGAAAGTTTAAAATTTACCTCTGATGTTATTCCCTATTTGTCCCTTAAAAAAATTACTTGTTTTGAGCAACTAAACCTTAGTTGAGCTTTATAATTCATCAATCTGAAGTACCTAATTGCATAGTTACGTACCGGTTTCAATATTCCATCTGCCGACAGATTTGGTTACTAGCAATAGGTATTTGACATTAGCTGCATAATACTTACGTCAAAATTCTGTCTCCATTAACCAATTGTATCTGTATGTAGAGTACTGAAACCGGCCGTTACAGGAACCTTTTTAATAAAGGCAATATGTAACAGTTCAATTTTACTTCCGAAAGCTGAATGCCGTAGTCCCAAAGACCGAAGTTGTATCGCTCAAGTAAAGTTTAAGTCAAGTGGAGGATAAAGAAAGTTAACTCGCGGGGTCATCGATAGCCGTTCAGAAGATTTGATTTGGGCTCTGAAGGCCTTGTTAGCACCTCGAACTGGCTGCTTAGGCCCGGGGCCGCTCACATTCAATTATTTATTTATTTATTCGTAATTAAGCCGCGCGAGTTATGGCGCGGCTGGATTTACGAGGCCAGTTATCGGCCGGCGATCGGCGTCTAAGCGGAGCACCTCCCGACAGTTCAGACTCCTGAACGACAGCTCCGAGTTGCCGCGAGACTTGTAGGGCCGGAAAAAACGAAAGCAAAAGTCCGTTTATAATGCGTACGCGACATAAAATAGAATGAAAATTGGTAACAGCAATCGTGATTGAAAAACTATCCGTAATAACCCCGTTCATTCCCAATTATAAACATGTGTCGTCTTTTTGTATCGTGCGATTAAATCGTCCGTAGCCGATTAAACATCACTAAATATCCATTCTTCTAATTACACACCGATTATTAACGCAGGCAATACGTTACTTGCATTAAAGATGTAATTCTCAGCGATACGAGAATACAATTAATCAGCACAGTCCACGCATCGGTGTCCGTAACTCATTAAAGACGCACAATAAGTTCACCATTAATAACGCGCCTATATCGACATCGACATCGGTTTTATCGAGTGTCGATACTCGATAAGCGGAGCCCGACGAGGCCAATTTGTTCGGGGCCCCCATAAATTGCTTTATTAAAATAAATCAACCGGTTTATTGTTCTCTTCTCGCCTTGTCGGGCATTGTTGTTTCGGGCGAGCGTGGCCAGCTGTGAGCGAGATCGCTCCGTATATGAAATACGCAGATCTCTTTCGACGCCTCGCGATTTACTAACGCGTTCCTCGATGATGAATGGCCGCGATTGTGGGCTGACTGCCCTCTTAGAATACAAACGGAACAAAACGGCGTACGTTTAACTTTTACCGCGTAATCAGTTGTGTTGCATTTGAACGTAGACGAACTAGACTGGCCATCATTGGATAAGAAGAAACTTAGTGACGGAAGTTAAATATATTTTCTGTTCTATCTACCATAATCTACTTACATACTTTTAAACTACTGCATATCTAAAGACATCTATTTCATGGAATAATACATATTCCAAATACTACAGCATCCTGAATCTAATGAGATGCGAAAATTTCGGTGACAAAATTTCGGAATAAACGAAATAAAATCCGTAAACGTAGTTTCTTAACAGTATACCTATTGCAATACACAATATGATATAAGGAGCTGTGACATTATCGACAAAGATCATTAGAGAGCGACCCGCGCCTCCAGTCACGCAGTTCCAATCGTATTTCAAACGCGAAATAAATAATGTGCCAATAAAGGCCCCCCGACTCCAATCTCGGCGCGGGGCACCCAGCGAACGCGCGACGCGATTTATCTCGTCCGAATCGCACTAACTCACGGCCGTCGACAACGCTCCAGACGCGCGGTTTCCAGGCCCGATCGCGAAAACAGTGTCAATACCGACATACGTGTTTCGTTTGACCCAATCGCTTCAAGGTCTCATTTGCGTGATTTTTGAATTTGAATTAGGAACACTACACGTGCTCGTATCACGCTACGATTTGTTATGTTTACGTAAATAATACGAACATTGTTAATTACAACGAAACTAATTTACGGCTTTTATCGCGTTTAATCTCGGTTTGGTTTTAACTTCCGACTTTTCAAAAAACAACCAATTGTCACGGGACAGGCATATTAAGAGTTTAATTGCATATAAAGAGTGAATGTTTGATTGATAAAAAAACATTCGTTCTATATCAATTTTATAATCACAAATTAAAATAAAAAATATCTCTTACATATATCGCAGCAAATTAATAGACACAGTAATTTTTAAAATATTCTATGGTTTCTCATTAAGGTTTTATTAGAAAATCAAAAAAGTTAATTTCGGTCTTATTAGCATCGATTACATTTTATTTTATTTCAACTTATTAATTTTATTCGAATAATAAAAGTAGTCAAATAGAAACGACAAGTGGCTTCGTTATTTTATTTAAATTCTGACGTGTATGACATACGAGTACAGATTGTAAATAATTCAAAAAGACGCGGGAAACGAGGTGCGAAAGCAGCCAGCTTTAATAAACGGCTATTAATAAGTTATGTTTTTAATTACGAGACGATCGCTCGATTATTTATTCGTATAATTTTATAGGGCCCCGCGGCGATCCCGGCGTGCCGGCCACAACAATAAAATATATGCGTCCAATGAATAAGTTCGATCTGTAAGGAGAATTATTACACATTCCGCAACGGGTGTATGTCCCAACGTGAATCCTAATAAGACAAGTGACGAGGTTACTGCGTAAAATTCAAATGGGATTTCACTTTATTTTATTCTTTATTCAGTTTTATTTATTAAGTTTTGATTGTTATTAAAATCCTTCCTAATTACTGTTTGAAAGTTTCGCATACATTCATTTATTTGACGATAACTTGCTGTCGCGTTAATAGGATATTGTATTAAGAAATAAATTTCTTTACTTATCATTTTTTATAAATACTATCTATTAATAAAAAATCATAAATTTTATAATCATCAAGACGACGTAAATAAATAAAATATAACTAAATGGAAAAGAGTTCGGATGAAAAGCTTCTAAGAATAAATTCCACTGTTTTGACGTGACAGTCTGACGGATGTGTAAGAATCATAATATAGAAAGCATTGTTCTACATTCGTCATCCGTCACAAAATTGAGATTAAATTTTTAAATTAACTTTATATTTTATTTCTAGGGCTAATGTGCGAGTACATATAAATTTTGAATACGAGTTTAATAGATAAATTTTCGAAAATATTTCGCCATTGAGGGATTTGAATTGCGTCAAAGTAAAAAATTATAACTCATCATTTCGTCGTTTTAATTGAAATAGTAAATAACACAAGGCCCTTTTATTTCTGACAATTGAATATTATTCTTAAAGAATAATTCCAGCATGTCAAAATCAAAATTTCAAACATTTCTCAACTATAATATGTAATAGCTTTATTTGATTGAAACATACAACGCGACGTTTTGGAAAGCATATCCAAAACTACATCATAAATTGCTCACAGCGACACGACGAGATTAAAATGGTTACAACGTCTGACACTCCGTCAAAATATAGCAAAACGACACGCCTTTATATAGGTCAATCACAGAACGGTCGCCGACGGGGTCAAATCGAGGCAACAATGTGCGACCTCTGGCGACCCCACAAATGCGCCGCCCGAGCGTTATTAATCAACTTTTATACGGTCGTAAAGCCGCGGCGGGATTAAAAACCCCACTCGAAATCATATTTTTACGGCGTTTAGATCCGTGCTCATTATTCGGGGGGTTTTTATAGTGGCGCGATTCGGGCGGGCCGGCCGATTCGTGGCGCGTGTGATTTACGGCGGACGCTAGACGCGCGGGAGACGGCCGCGGTGCACAACGGCGCGTTGTGTCAACGGCTATCGGCAGTCGTTATCGGCAACCGTTGCCGATAACGATCGACGTCGATCAACGCAGCCGTTTCATTGCCACGAGGTGCAGCGCTGTTGAACTGTGAGCGGAACCATTGAAATTACCAAAACCAACTACGAAATGCGCCCGGGCGGAATAAAGTTTCGTTAAATTACATCATTCGTTATCGTGACGTGTGATAGAAGTTTCAACGGTCTCGTGCATCTCACAGTTCGAAAACCGTGTTTTCATCATCAAGATGAGTTGAAAATTAGTGATGTACTGACGACAGATCAACATAAATAAAAATGGAAGTGAAATATACTGTTAAAAATACTCTGTATTGTGTCCTCTCGCCGCTGTCCCCGTATTTAATTATGATACAGACAGGCGGTAGATAACCAAACAGAAACGATTCGGCGTCGACTTTCCAAAGGCGCCCTTGTCAAAAACAAATCAAAGCTAATGCGAATCTCGAGTGATCACGTCCAATGATGACTAAGGTACCAAACGGATCTGATGTAACCGCAGATCTTGGCCGATATCCCAGCGGGAGTCGGGATGCGACAGTTGATTTCCGCTCCGTCTAGAAATAACGAGGGCATTAGCTACTCTTAAATTAGACAGTTCATTGAGAGACAGTGATCCTCCGGCGCTGGCTGATTGATCACCTGTCAAATGTAACAATCGCCAGACGTTCGCCAATAGATAAATAGAAACTTACAGGACTTCACCATTCACATGTATCAGTTATCAGAAATCTGCACAAATTATTAAGTCAAACAATTCCAGTTTACTATCCGAATGCGGCTAAACTGGAAGCTATTTATGTACGAAATTTTTAAATAAGGGCAACTACTTTCCAAAAGCCCAATTGGATATGTCTGATCTAATATGTCTTCTACGAATTAAATTTCGGAAAAAGCGATCACCGTAATAGGTATTGAAAATGTAAATGAAATTAATTCATTTAAGATTTAATCCGTTCTATGAAAAGATCTACCTACTTTTATAAATACTGTATGTTTAAATTTAGCCATTCTTTTATAGGACATTCACACACGAGCAGAGGACAACTCATATAAGACCTTTGATTTGAAACATCCTTTTCGTTCAGTTGAGGTGTAGCAACCACAGAAGCCCCGACAAGGTTTAAGGGTATTTAGCACCATACAGAAGACCGAAATAATACTAATAGACTGAGAAGAATTCTACTTCTGCATTTCGCCTGGCAAAGGTAGTGGTGAAGTAGCGGCGCAACCTCAAGCAACGTAGCAACGTAGCGATCTTTTACCATCAGGTGATCTGCCATGGAAAAGAACGAGGCAACCAGATCCGCGGCACTGCGCCCCACCGAATCCCCGATACGCGGCACCGGCGGAATCGAAACGAGACACCCGGCCCGCGACGATATTTCAGTCCGTCCGTCACTCGGACAGTTCAGAGAATCCGGGCGAGATTAATTGTATTTCGGTTTGAGTCATCAAAATAATTAGAATGGCCCGCCGAACGCTATTCTCGGTGCGCGGGTGCTAATTTGACGTGCGTGGCGGGAGATCTCGTTGTCTCTCCGTGCGTGCGTCTCGTTCGCCGGCTCGTTTTTTGTTTGATACTCGTATCGAACGGCCATATGTTTCGCATGTGCCGCGCGCCGATCAAAGACCGATTGGCCGCGATAGTGAATATTCATTAAGAATTGGCGTCAATCCAGCTAAGTCGTGACGCCGATGGGGACGGAACGAGTCGGCGCGGTTCGTTATGGGCAATATTTGATAGTTCTGGGAACGTCTCGATCCGCGGCGGTTAATTTCGTACGCGACCGCCATAAACGTGTTTGATTAATGCTATCCAGACGATGTTAATGTAGCGGGCAGGGCGCGCCGCGATCAAAGGATCCATTAAATCACCGCGAAACAATGCCTAGGAACCGTGCCCGCCGGTGGGGGATAGCGAATTAAACGCGCAAAATCCGCCACATATAGACGGGCGGCGCTCTCTGCTTGGAGACAGCTCTAATTAAGGGTTTATGATAGATAATTATGCATAAACTTCATTCAAAGCTTCAGCGTCTTCGTCCGCGCGTTGAATTATTTATACGTACGTACGTTATTCCGATAGGGCAGATTATTGCATAACATTTTAAAAAAATATTTTGGCTCCCGCTTCACGAGTCCTGATCAAAATTATTATGTAACTCTACTTGCAAATTGGATAATCTACCTCCAAATAACTCCGCACCTAATTCATTGACATGTTTATAGAGTTAAAGAAAACCGAGACTTAAAACAGGTATTTCTCGCGTATAAATATTCCCTGCTATTATGAGGAGTGGAAACATAATTCGTCATTGGGAACGTTATAGTCGAATTAATTCGCCCCAGCACCTATAAAGATTACGAAAACGCGAAAAAGAATGATAGAGGAACCGCTCGCTTTGATTTATATAACCGTAAAACACATTCCAATGATCTTTACAATCACGAGTTGGATGTCGTCCAAGATAATTTCGCGTCCGACAGTAAATATCCTTCGTTTATTATTATTTCTACAAATTGACGACGTTTGATTAATGCCGGAAAGTCGCCGCGGAACGAAACGAAATACCCTCAGCTTTATACATCAAATGCATCATCTCGAGGCCCAGATTTTAGAACTTTATGAAGTTTAATTGCGTAACAAACGCGGTCAAGTTAAACTAATTAACCGTGGAGGTCTATAGTTTTAATGGATGAATGTCTAAATGGTAGACAATTTACTTGATAACAATTACGTCACGCGTTATTTCAGCTTTTCACAATACCTACAAGATGAGTACAAAGCCTGCCACACTCGATCCCTGAGTTTAATAACACCTAAAAAAATTAAATGCTAGTTTCGTTTCCAGCACCGCTTAAGTGTCACGCTTAAGACTTTAGGTAACACTGAAGCGGTAGTGAAAATGAAAATAGCACTTAACTTTTTTTGGTCTCCCTTAAATTTACGGATCGATGGTGAAATTGGGCATTGGACTTGCATTAAAATAAAAGCACATAAATGTATTCAATACTAATTGAAGTCTCCGAGTGTGCTTTGTTTGACAAAACAATTCAAAAGCAATTACTATATCGTTCGAATCTAGCAACGTCTGAATTCAGTGAGCGGTCTCTGTGTTCACGAGATCAGAGAATGCGTGGACGTGTTGTGACACTATAGACCGGATGATTTATGGGCGGTATGCCGATTCGTGACTTTTCCGCGCGGCCTCGCGGGGAAAATATCATTTGTTGATATTTGTATAGACCAGCAGGTTAACACGTTGATTTAGGGCGACGATAGACGTACATTATTTGAGAAAACTAAACGTTACATTTATAAAATTTAGTTTTGTAATCATGTAGCCATTTGACTAAGGGCGATGCGATTAGGGAGGTAATCGGGCCCACTTTTTTAAAACTTATAAATGGATCAGAATACCATCGGGTGTTGTACCTAAATGTCCTTGGGCGGTGTTAAACAGTGTACCGTCTGCTCGCTTGACAACATTTCACATAAAAAAAGAATTCATCCGTCCGATTACAGTGATGATGCCACGGTAACAGGCAGTTACTAAGCAAATGTTTTTACCGCTGAGAAATAAAAAATTATAAAAGAGGAATAAGGTTACTGACATTCAATCAGCCAGTTAGCGTCGTTATAAAAAATCATAATTATAAATCAGAAATGATAAGCTTTAAACGATTAGTTAAGCGCAAAATTAGCGATCGAAAATATTAAGGCGCCGAATTTCGGACAATCCGTAAAATTGTTTGGACCTGACCGTGATGAAGACATTTTGACGATGTCGAACGGATAAAGCGTTTGGATAATGTTCATGTTGACTTCGTGAAGTCTCTGATCCGCTTAAAATTATCGGTGTATTTCAGTTATGGGTCTGGGGAAAAGATTTTATTGCGACTTAGAAATTAAACGACCGTAAATGGAAATGGTTACATTTAAAATACTTCGGCTGGTAAGCGACTTTGTCGAGTGCCATTGCCTGGGTTAATTCCCACACTGGACGGAAAGTGTGATTCGTATAAGGTTGTTTCGAGTTTTCGTGTTATTCCGTCAGTGAGTTCGTGTATTAGTTATTTGTTCACATGCATATCTAATAAATAGATTATGAGTAAATCAATAAATAAATTATACCTTGATCTTACTAGACAGTTACGAAATTATTACTTTTTATATAGTTAGTTAGCAAATGCCATGTTTTTCTTAACACGTGGTTTGTCTAATTGGCAGACTTTCTTTTAGATTTGTATTACCATATAAGTACTTAAGTTTTAATTGAATTTAATTAATTACTGCTTATTGCTATTTCTCTAAAAACCTTACGTTATTCTTCGGTTTCTTTTAAAGTTAGTTTGATACGAAAATTAAATATTAAATGGTTGAAACGTAACCGTGAAAATTGTAAAGTTAATACATATTTCAGTCGACTATCCAATATGCGATACAGTAATTCAATTTCTAAACGTGCGTAAACTAACGTTTATGTTTTTAGCAGAGCGAAGATAATGGTTACCTAAATAATAAATCGATGTAAATGTACCAACAGTAGACGTGTATTGACCAATCGCGAGTACGATTTCGTCTGTTCCGATCGAAATACATTTCCACGATTACGATAGGCGTTAAATTATCTAGCTTTTAATTATTTTAGCGCCAAAGCAAACAACGCGAACGGGCGTCTCGGCTTACGGAGACATTCGCCGTGTTGATTTCCCGACGGCCAACCTCAGCGGCAAAGTTCCATATCCCCGGAATCGGAGGAACATTCGCTTGTTTAAGCTCGCGCTTTTCCCACAGACTATACGAAACGTTCGTATTTAAAACAATGGTACGCGCCGAGTTCACCTTCGCGATATATTTGTCATCTGGGGACGCGGAATGCCATTTGAGATTTCGCTAACGTATGCTACGTCCCGATTAAAATATTTTGCAGTTTGGAGAAGTTATATGTATAGGAGTATACTTTGAATTCTTTCAAAGTATACTCCTATACATATGAAATTTACTGTTTACGGATTGCGGGAATAACAACTAGTATATAATTTACACAATATTTTGGTATTCGCAATATTAAAAAGAATAATATTTACTCTTAATCACTCTGGATTGAGTTCAGCTTTAGGCTTTATAAATGAAATGAAAAAGATAAAGATGTATAAGAAATAACAGCGAATTTTTGTGCTAACGCTGACATAGAGACAGACCAATATCCAGTACTCGCGGAGAAATTCCGCAAATAACGCAGCCGATCTCAATATTAACAACATATTTCGAATATTTGAATTAATTCCTATGTTGATTATCACGAGTCTCTACCATGAAATGTGTCGAGAATGCAATAATACTGTAGGACAGACTATACATGATCAAGTACTTATCACAAAAAAGGCGGAATGGTATCAAACATTAATCCGCTCATAATGAAAAATGTAGGCACGGTAAATGCAAATAGTTACCTAGTGTAACACCAGTGGTTCCCGTATCGCGTGTCGGGTCGACGTAAACGAGTCGAGTCCGACATTCGAATCACATCATCACAGCGCAAATAGAAAGTCCACGATCGGAACAATTAAGAACCGGATGGATGCGACATCTTTCCGATGTTTACCGAGTGTTGTGCTTAAGTACCGTGACGTAAGTTTAATTAACGAACGATGCTTCTAGAAGCTCTCCGCGGTAACTAGGCGTAAGCAAATACAATTGACCAGTAGCGAGAGTACAACGCTCGGATATGCCATTCGTAATGAAATCATTGTAATTACAGTTTAAATATTAATGAAAGAGATCTCGCAATTAAGAAAAGCTTACATTGATTGGTCCATACCCAAAGAATTATTGTTATAGATTCATATCGAAGATGTTCCGAATTTGAATTTGAAAATACTAATGTAATTTAGTAACTAAATGAGTTTGAAAACAACGGTCAAAAATTTTGATAAAAATATTTTGCATGTGGTTGGACGGGTCATAGCGGGAAATTTCTTAGTATAGCACCAGAATTATCGCATCTTCAACACTCTTATGAAGATGTATTGACTTTATTTTTATATTATTTTATTAAGACTGTATGACTTTATTTTTTATATTATTTTATTAAGATCTTATGACTTTTGGATTTCGTATGTTGAATAAAGAAATTGAGACTCCACATTTTGAAGATTGAAAAGGCAACAACCAAACACATTGCAATCAGAAAATTTCAATTAATTTATGTATCCTGTAACGCCGTATCTTAGAAGTCTATTAGATTAAATTTACCATTAATAAATCAAATCAATCATAAATCTAAATTATTCTTAATTTAACAGGCTTCGTGTTATATAAAGCACATCCTATCACAATTAGGTGCGGACAAAGATGGCATGCCAACTGCTAGAAACAATTAGTGGTGGCACTATTATGTAATCAGAGCGAAATGTGCAATGATCTGCATAAGTGTGGAATGACGTTAGCCCCGTGATTTCGCTCGCAGGTACTGACGAGTGCAAAAATGGGTAATCGCTGATTAGAACCAGCGAACAACAGCAAAAACTATGTTCAGAAAACCAACTAACAACGTTGTTCGCAACTGTACACTAATGGAAGTGAGGGGGAGTATGCTTTAGACTGCAGCGCGAGCGAGACAGCAAACTCTTCCACGCTGTGCCGCCTTTAGCCTTTACATTTAAACCGTACTGACTAGGACGAACTTCAAGAGCTGCATTTTAGCTGTGCAGCTAGAGCGCACGCTGGCGCTTTCCAAGAAACCGTCCAGGGCAAGTCGCAAATTGCACCGCGATCACGATCAATATCCAGGATCCGCCTCGCTGGAAGGGACCGGCACCAGGCAGACGCCCGACCGCTTCCAGGGAACGGCAATTTGTGCAATTTCGCGAACACACGCGCACCACCGGGCTGCACGTGCAAAATCCAAAATGGCGCGCTCTCACGTAATTATAGCATATAATTACATCGACATTTCATAGAAGTGATTACATGCTACTACCTACCTACCCCATTCAGTTTAAAGCTTGAGATTTGTTAAAACGGTTGGAACGAAATTAGAAAAAAATCAAAACTACAAAACTGTCGAAGGTGTTTGAAACCGCCAATCAAATGTTTTTTGCCACAGTAATACAAAACCGCCATAAGTCTATCGCATGGACGCGCAAATCGGCCACAATGTTGCCAATCGCAGTTCGCGTTTCCTCATACGGCACTCGCGGAGGAAATGGCTGTTGACATTTCCAGAATAGTCCTTTGTTGGCCGCGTTCCTTCTGCTTAATAACGCACAATTCGTATATATTTTTATGCGACAACTCCTATTAGGTATGGTTTGTAAAGTACTACGCACCCGTCTAATGAAATAACTATAACTTTTCTCTATGTTTATATTATATTATAACTCATATGCTTATACTTGTATCGGTGTCATCTAAACAGGACTATACTAGGTGAAATAATGTTGAAAAAGTGTAAATGTAAAGATTTGGAGAAAGATTTATATTTTCATATACATTGATTGGGACTTAATCAACAACGTATATTTTTATTAAGACATCCAACACACAATGAAATATTTCAGGCACAAAGCAAGGCACGGCAGTACTATTTAGAGATCACAGATTAATGGGGATTGAATCAACAACAGGGCGAAACGGCAGTTGGCAAGACGACTGCCTGAGTCAACGGGGCATCCGTATGTTGTCAGTTTAGTTTTGACGACTGTTTTCGTATAAGTCAAAACAAATAAAATTCTTGCCCCGTGATTCACTTACAATCACAGGATTTCTTGCGGGTACATAGAATATTGTCCTAAGGTACAGGTAGACAAGGTATAATAAAACGTTTACCAGACGACATAAAAAACGCATTTCTATGCAATTAACTTAAGCCCGGTTGGCGTCGGAGAGATTACAATGGTCTTATCACTTTTCCGAGTGTACTTTTATTGCAATGCTAAAATGACCCTTATCAGATTGACTCAAGGCTTACTTCGCGAACAGTGGTCGACGGAACCTTTTTGTGTCCTTGAATAAATGACTATCAATTTGTTACAACGGACTAAACAAATCGGACATACCTATCGGACCTCCGGTGTGGCCGTGTTTCACATTCAGCTATGGCAATGTTATTATTATTCCATTTAAACCAACGTAAGTACCTAGTTTTAGTAATGGAATGCATTGCCTACAAACATAATAGCGGCCATATTAGTTGCGCTGTGCGTTTTGGCGCCAAACGTTTCTTCGACTACCTATGTCGCGAACCTTGACAATGTAGGATCTAAATAAAGCCCTAATAAAACACGCTTCACACGTCGATTTTAAATTTAGATGGCGTCATTCGCTGGGCGGGCGATAACAGCCCGTGCGCCTTGACGTTAAGGTCGGGCCCGACCGCAAATCCGAGTTGCGGGTTCGCGCCAACAGATGTCGCGCGACAAAGTAAGCCGTACGTGCTTGTCGCGTAAACAGCGCGTGGCGTGTGGGGCCGGGCGGCGGCGACTAGAACAATTTGTGATTCAACTATATAATGCGGCGTAATTACGGGCGCCAGAACCGCGGCCCTTTATTTTTGCTAATTTGGTAGCCGGCGAAGGTGGTCCCGGGCTGTGCGCGCCATTCCCGCCGTCAATGCACCGGCCGGCTACATTGTTATCGACGATAATTCGCATTTATTCCCGCATTTTACGACCACGCCCGCCAATTCGTATTTACGAAGCCTTTATATACGCTGCTTTTGTTATATCATATTCCGAATTAATGACAAGTTACCCCTTAAGCATGGTGCGGAATTGTGAACCGACTGAAAACATTGTATTATTTTAATGCTTTTTTTTCTTTGCGGAAAAGAAACTTGTTTTCTTGTTTTTGTTAAGAATTATATATCAAATTCTATATTTAATTAATAAGAAGCTTTTCCAAGAGGAACCATATTATATCAACTTTTATTCGATTTTTTTTTTCTCGAACATACTAAAAATTTTGGCAAGTATTTCATAATTTATGTTTTTGACATTTGCTAGCCCCTTGCTCATAATATCACTTTAATCATTATATAAAATGCCTTCGCCCACTTTCAGTCAGATTGCAATGTATTGCATCTTAAAGTTGAAGAGTTAATGGGCTGCCACCGAGCTATCGTGGTCACCAGAGTGTGTCACCGTCAGATTGGACGGCAGTCAAACTCGGGAGACCGCAATTAAAAAGAGATCACAATAGGTTCAAGAAACTTCGATCCCGGCCTAGGTATACATCCGCCCGAAAGGGTTAATTCCTGTACTGTCAAGTTACGTCACCCACAGATCTCTCGGATACAAGTATGAACAGATCTCATTGTGGCCCGCCTCGGATTTACGACGAATATGATTTACGGGCGCATTTGATGCGGACGGACACGCGGACTACAATAGGCTCATACAAACCGGCCGTCGGGAATCGCCGTGGCGCGTTTTAGTATTATAATGTGGTCGCCCTCCCCCCCCAAAAGGCCACATAAGTTTTTATCGCGCCCTTCGGGGAAATAGAAATTTTAATACTCCACGAAATTATTTGCTTTGTTTTAATATTGTATCGTGAAAAGGATTATTAACAGCCAACCCGCATCTCGCTCGCTTGGTTTTCTTCCAAGAGGACCCAAGAAGTAGTTCAATTAAAAGAAACCTTAATGACACATCAAGCGTAGAAAAATTACCAAATCCCTAGATCCGTGAACTAGTAAGATATACTCTTAGCCACACCCTTTCAATGTACATTGTACGTATATTATTATTTCCAATCCCTCATCCCTTTCCCGGCTAATACAAGAAGTTACAAGAACAGCAAAAGAAATAATGTAATGTGCAAACTTAATCACATCGCTCGGCGTCACATAAAATATATAGACACTTTTTTAAAAGTTAAAAAAAAAACTGATTCGCTTACACTTGTACTAAACAGAAATCAGGTAGGGTCACATTTCTTATGATACGTAGACCCGTCGAAATCGACACCAAAACGGAATCGATTAAACACGCGCCCCGATATTGAACAATGCATTTTCGGGTGCGAATTGAATTCCGACAACCAATCGACGGGTTCGACGACCCCGTCGGCAAAAGTATTACGAGCGCGTTACAAAGCTACCAGAAATTTTTTTATATCTAAATCTTCACATTTCCATAGCGTGAAACACCTGAACATTTTAATATTCCGCGCCGTCTGCTAAATAAACTGGGCAACGCTTTATTCGCGCGATTGCCTATACAAACATTTGGCTCTAAAACCAAAGCAAGCAGAATGAAGCCACCGCAATAAGCAATCAGGAACACCTTCCGCGACTAATTCGTGTCGCAATGAAAACAAAGCAAATCGCCCGTCGCGGCAAGAGAATTAGACATTTCACTACAACGCCCGATTCACACCGAGACGGCATTGGCAGACGCCTAACTTTAAGATGTACAGCATTTTGAGTCTTATCTTTAGAGTTTTAATTCCCAATATCGCATAAAGGACTGCGGCTTGATTTCTCGCGCGCGATCGCGATAGCTCCTAAAACACCTTCAACGATAATGAAATCTTACAACAACGAGATAAAGTTTAAAATTCTATTTAGTTTAACTGCGCCGAGACGCCGCCATGCGGTGTGAATCGACATACGGGTTGTTCATTCCGCGACGACAAAACAAAACGAACTCTGAAAGCACGATAAAGAATATTAATAGAGATGTAAACGGCTGCGGTGTGATTTCTTTAAATAACGTTAGAAAAAAACACAGAGATACGTGTCGGCTTTGATATATTAATAAAATGGGCGTATCGTCCGCAGATTAACATCGAATACGGACGCGACGGACGGCGCAGATCACTCAACGTAGTGATGCTCGGCGACCAAATAGAACTCATTATAATCACACACAAATCAGCAAGCATGTAGCCATTTAATTACATACAAAAACATACCACGGACGCGCCTAAGTTCCAATGTTTTGAATTTGTTTCAATTGTAACCGATAATTTATCTTGTTTCCACCGAAAATATAGAGTGCAGATGTTTCCTATACATAGAAATGTCTGTTTCAAATATTAAAATAACAGCTTTTTACACGGTGTAAATACCCAAATAATATTTTTTACAATTTTTCTCTGTCCGTCTGTTTGTCCGGCTAATCTCTGAAACGGCTGGACCGATATTGACGGGTCTTGCACTGGCAGATAGCTGATGTAATAATTAACGCGGACGAAGTCGCGGGCACAGCTAGTTAGGTAATAAATAACAGTGCTGATTATGCAAACACCGACTATAAACAGCTTTCAGGCTGACAAATGTGACACCGTGCTCCTGTTTGTCACTGTCCTGCCACTGGGATTCAAAGCTACCTTGATCATCGCGATAAGAACTTACCACCAACTAGGTCAAATTAAGGTGTATAGCTAAATATCGGGCCAGACAATGTTAAGTGACTACCAGCGCTCATGGACATCTTCAACGCCACCCAGGATTTTTTTATGTGAGATGATGGCAAGCGAGCTCTAGTTTCACCTGACGTTAAGAGATATCCACCGCCCATAGACGTTTGCAACACCCGTAGCGTGGCAGATGAGTTGCCATCTTTAAATGAATAGGGCTCCGGCTACCTCACTCACCAAACGAAACTCGGAAGTAAAGCACCTCCACTTCACGCCCGCCTTCTATGAGGTCTTGGTACTTCCCCGGACGGACCTGCCGATTCGTAGAACAGCGAAGACCATTGCGTAGCTACCACAGTTAACACTTACGGGATAAGCGAAACGTAAAAGTAATACTACCACCTGCGGTCTGTAAAGCTGTGGCTTTTCTCGCGACGTGTCTGCCCATCCGTGCAACAGCAGACGTGGCAGACAAAATTGAACTAGAATGTTCAACACCTTAAGGTGGGCATTAAGTATCCCTTCAACTTTATTCAACTGAACGTATCGTTTACATACAGTTGACCCAAAAATTAAAGTATGTATGTTACGTGCGTTTGTTGTTAAGACAATAATCCGGCTCAAAGTCGCGTCGTAAACCGCTTAATGCGCGAGGGGGGACCTATAAAACGATTAATACGCCATCGCGGGCCTTCGTAAATTGCTCATCGTAACCACTCGCGAAGAAATCAAACGCCATTCGCCTGTTAATGCTTCGCGGACGTTCGAGACTATTCGTTAACTTGTATGCACAGCGTGTACGTACGGTTTATCGTACGTGGCCCATCCGAATATATATTAAAATATATCTACCGTCAATGTAGCGTTCATCTCAATTCTAGGCGTTTACTATGCTCAGTTAAGTGCTGTTAAATAACTCAAACATATAAACTCTCCTCGTTAGCGAACAGAAGTGGAACTCGTAACGTATGTATAGTAATGGCCGCGTAATACTTGGCTCTTGGTTAGCAGTGCGTGAGTGAACTCTATCGGCGAAAGGAAAGACATTAATCTAGGTTATTTTGCTAACAACAAGATAGCATAAAGTAAATGTTAAAAAAAGGCCCGGCGCAATCTATTAGATGTCGCGACACACGACGTACCGTCGATTTTTTTTATTTGTGCAAAGTTACAAATCCACATTAATTTTGTAAACATTACGTTCGTCCATGCCATGGTACTTTCATTCCTGGGAACAAGATTCTGCGTGGCCCTACTACAGTAATTAAAGTCGGATTAAAAATTCTTAATGTTTTATTTTTTTTAAAACGCTTCAAACATGTAATGAATCACGGGTCAATCACATCGCCGTTGAATCTAAACCATAGAGGAAAAGAGAAAAGTCTGTGCGTGCACGTCTTCGAAGTAATCCTTACTTCTTAACAAATATTGATAAATATTAATTGTATAACGCGTGGCATCAGCAGTTCATTGTATATAGGGTCTGGAGCTTATATCTACAATGCACGCATTCTTGACATTATCTTATTCGCTCTCTCTTCTATTAGTCCTTCTCTCTCATGTAAGAAACGCGCCAAAGTGACGCACTCCGAAATTTCGCCGGCAATTCTCAACCGATCATCGGATCGCCGCATGAGAAGTTTCATTTGAAAAAAGAACGACCATTGCCGCCTAAAACGCCACGAAAACCCGCTCGCATCACTACGCTCCAGTTGATTAATTCCAGTTTTATTTGTACGAGCGCGGAACAGCTGCCGGCGCGCGTTTGATCCCGACACGCTGCCTACACCGCGACGGCGAATGTCCCCGAAGCGTTTTTCACGAAAACGCGACTAATGTAATTGATCACAATCTCACAGCGATCCGTCGAAACGAGCTTACACACCTTTATTATTTCGATTTGTCTGCTTGCGTGTGTGTGTGTGTGTGTGTGTGTGTGTGAGTGACGAAAAATTTGTTCGCGCATATTATATAGAAGTAAAATTTTTATTTAATAATTGGATGAATTTTGTTTTATACTTTCTATCATTATGCTTTCCTTTTGTTCTTTATATCAAAGAATAGAATAATTATTAACATG